CTTGATGAGGAAGTGCGTGCTTTTTCTCAATAAAAACTTTATTTGCTGGGTTAGAACAGAAGGCCCATAGTAATTCCTATGTGTCTCACTAACAGTAAAAATTAATAATAATAATCATGAAAAATCAGGGGACTATAAACAGATAAAAAAAGGAAATTGTGTATTGGTTAAATGAGGTAGGAGAAACACATGCATATATTATCACTCCCTGCCAAATTTCTAGCATAGTAGGAAAGGAATAATAAGATATAAGCTCACAAAAGCAAAGAAAAAGGAAAACCAAGAATATAAAATGTATCAATAAATATTTAGAAGATGGAAAGTAGTTGGACAATTGACTTGGGAAAGATTGAACCTAAGGGTTTGTAGACAGCAGCACTGTAGGCAAAGGAGCCAATTCACACGGCAGAACCCAGAAAACTTCCAAGCATTGGAGGCACTTCAGTAATTTGGGAGGCACAGTAAGAGTAAAGGCTGAAGTCAGGAAGGTTGGTTAAAAACTTAACAGATAAAGAAGCAGACATTCTTCATGCCTTAACAGATAAAGAAGTAGGAATCCTTCATGCCTGCATAGTCAGAGGACTTCTCCATTTCGACTTCAACAGGAAAAAGAAAGTTATTCTCTGGCCCTAGACTTGAAGTGGAGTACCTGGGTGGTACAAATGGTTAATGTGCTTGGCTGCTAACCAAAAGGTTGGTGGTTCAAGTCCTCCCAGAGGTGCCTCAAAGAGAGTCTTGACGACCTACTTCCAAAAAATCAGTCATTGAAAACCAGTTTTTTCTACTCTAACACACAAGAGGTTGCCATGAATCAGAATTGACTCATCAGCAACTGATTACTGGTTAGACTTCGGGTAAACATGTGGAGGGTAGGATGTGGCGCCATACAGAAACCTGGGGGTCTAAGGGAAAGTCAGTGTATGCACTGAGAAACTGTCAGTCCCTTCACTCACTAATCTCGTAGAATGCTGGTAACCAGACTTACACCCACCTCCCCAAGGTAGGCAATTGAAAGGTCTTCACTAGAGAAAAATCTACTAGAGAAAAGATCTACTGGCATTGACAATTAGGGTGCCCCATCAAAACTGTTAGGTCCTGCCTCAGTTCCTCCATGGAAGCCCTCCAAGGCAACAAGCCCTGCCCATAAACATGAAACTTCTAATTGTTTCTTTTTCACTGGCTCATGACTAAATATTAATGAACAACCAGTGTCACCAGACATTTAAGAAGGGTTTTCAACGTGAAAAAAAAAAAAAAA